ACTCATCTTGGAAAATATAGGTTTTTACCACTTTGCTTGGCAAAAACTTGTTTTTGCCAGGACGGTTTTTACCATGGTTTTTTCCACCTGCGGCAAAATCTTACCAACCCTGCTTAAAATTGTAAATACATATTTTTGGACAATCTCTTCAACGCGATATTTGTCAAAGAAGTGTATAACAAGTGTGTTATAAACAGCATACCAATGTTCCATTCAATATTTTTACTGGATATCCATTACAGTATAGAACTTTTCTTCCAAGAACATGTGGGAATTCTCTGCACTTTCACAGACTCCACCATAAGAATAACACTTTCTGGTCTTAATTTAGACATTACTTTTAGAAACCATCTTCAAAAAGGTCACACTCCATTTCTTTGTAGTAATCGCCACTTTTTTCGCAACAAACACAACTGCTGCATCTAGAACAAACCTTTCTTTATTCCCAACATGTGTTATGACCAGCCTTCTTTTTGGTTCAGACAATCCCTTACCTGCCAACTCTTTCGGATTTTCCGGAAGATTTTATTCTCATATTTAAAGTGGTAGTAAATATATACTATTTTTTTCTTTTATAAACTTAATTTTTAAATGATTTTGATCACCACTATTCTTACAAAAATGAAGCACATATATTAATATGCGTTACTAACATAGTTGTCAACTTAAGCTTTTTCAACTGCAACGTATTTGTTTGCTTAAAATTGAAGTTTTAATTCCTTTTTAATACCACTCGGAAAAATGATAATGGAAGGGATTAAAAGTTAGCAGGTATGCAATCCTGTCAAATTTGATGAGGAATCTGTATAGCTGGTCTTAATTGTGCTGTATCTTGCCATGTTTTATTGGGGAAATGCCCTTAGCCATGTTTTATCAAGGTAATATATTGGCACATTTTTCTTTTTGTATTCTTCAATTCTCAGCAAATAATCTCTGAGACATAAAATTATGTCACGTCTCTCTATAAGAGAAGGTTGCCTTTTTTCTTTTCTTTTTTTTAAATTGAAGAAAAATCTGGAGCCCATAATACAAAGTTGTATGGCTATGTTTTATTTTTCTCAAATAATTCCTTGTCACCATTTATTTCTTTTAAAACTTAATCCAATGTTTGTACTTTATTTCAGCAAAAAAACATTAATTTTTCTGTAAATGTTGCACAAAATCATCTCATTTCACAAGCTTTGAGCACTTTCCTAGAGTTCAGGGTCTTTTCCCTCCCTCCCCCAAGTGTACCTAAAGGAAGGGGTGTCTTCTTATTTTTCTTTAAATGTTAAAGAGTTCTTTTTCAACAACCAGTAAATTTAGAAACTTTATCACATACTTGAGTGAGTAATACTTTCATGGGGATTTTCTTTTCTAAGTTGAGAACAAGAACTTAAAATGTTTCTGAAAGCACAATTTTTTTATTATTTTTCCACAACTTGACCGTGTGAACATCTTTAAGTGATAGTTCTCTCTCAGTATGCAAAATTAAAATTAAAAATAATAAATAGGACATTTAATGACTATTAAATTAATAATTAGCAAAACTCAAATTAAAAATTAACAGCTTACAAAAGGAAAAAACTATCAATTAGTAAGTGACAAAATACAAACTAACAATTAATAAATTAAGGAAAAAAACTACCAATTAAAGCAAGTTAACAATTAATAACTAGGAAAAAAAAATAAGTTAACAGGGAATCATAAATAAAATTTACTAATGCAGGAAAAAAATCACTTAATAACTATTAGAAAAAAAACTACTAATAAATAACTGGAAAAACAACAAATTAACAATCCATAACTAACAAAAAAGATAATAAAATTAAACGATGTGAGGGAAAGATAGTAAAATAGGAACGGCACAAGCGCAAGGGCACTTTAGCAATAGTAATGACACCCAAGAGAACTGGCTGATCAGTGAAGAAAACATAGCCAATTAGTTGATCTCGGAAACTAATTCATCGCCAAAAAAAAAAAAAAAAACCTGAATATTCTTCGTACATTCGCTTTCCTTAAAAGGTATTTCTAGGTTGAATATATTTAAATACAAAACTTAATACAAATTTCAAAGAAAAAAATTTCTTATAATAATAGAACATTTATTCAACTGTACACACATTGTTGTCTTGTCCAGTAGTGCAAGGAAAATTAAATTGGTTCAAAACTCTCTAAAACAGCTTTGCACTACTCATGAAAGAAGGTTGCCACAGTTTCCTAGGAGTGTACACACATTTAAACTGTAATTAATTTTAAAAAACCAACAAAGAACTACTATTCAAAAGTGAAGTGTTACATTTTCTACCTTTCCTTATACTCCTAACGTGAGATGAAACGAAGTATAGATAAAATTTGTCGTTTCATGTAGCATCTCAAACATTTACGTACATGGGTTTTGTTTAAGCTGTGTAGATCACTAGAGCTGCTCTGCTATATAGAGCTTATGTATTTAAACATGCAAAATCTCGTCATTATACAAAAGTTTGAGCAATAGCTACCAAAAAAATTAAAACAGTGCAATTAAATTTTCTACAAGCATTTTAAAGTGAGTAGTGGGGGATAGAGCACTCGCCTTCCAAAGAGGTGAGCCAGATACCATTCCTAGCGATGGCTGGTGGATACGAATTCCGCACCTGGCTTGCACCGACCAGAGTGCTGACGAAAAATATCCTCAGTGGTAGACGGATCACGGATTAGAGTCATTTTGCCGTCAGTCTTACCGCGGGAGGTTTTCCTCTCCATGCAATGCAAATGCGGGTTAGTTCCATCAAAGAGTCCTCCACAAAGGCAAAATTTTTCCCAATATTTGATAGAGGAGTTCCCTTATCGTCTGGATTGGGCTCGAAATGACAATGCTACGGAGTTGGTCATTAGTAGTCATAAACCCAAAATTAGGTCGGCTGGTCGACGACAGTTAAAAAATAAAATAAAACATTTCAAACTAAACTTAAGAATAATCCATTATTTTTTATAAAGCGTTTAGTTAATTTTCTTGTAATTGACCTCCCATTGCATCTGCAAACGAGACAGTGTTTAGAACTCTTTTCTGTGAAGAACAAAAATCAACCTTTATTTAAGTTTTCAAAACTAAGAACGTGTTTACTTCAATCTTTTGTTACAAACATTTTATCACAGTGATTGCACAAATAAGGCTTTTCTTGATTGTGAACCCGGTAGTGTCGATTTAATAAGAATTTTTTTATAAAACTCATACCACACACATCGCAACAATGCGGTTTCTCTCTAGGGTGAGTCATCAAAATATGTTTGGTTAAATAGCTTTTAAATGCAAATGACTTACAGCAGACATCACACGAATAAGGTTTTTCACCCGTGTGACTACGGTTGTGTCTGGTTAATGTTTCTTGATTTGAAAACGTCTTTTCACAGAGAACACACGCATAAGGCTTTTCTCCACTATGCACACGACTGTGCAAATTCAATAGGTATTTTTTTATAAATCTCTTACCGCAAACATCACAACAATGCCGTTTTTCCCCAGTATGAATCATTAAGTGCATATTTAAATCATTTTTCTGCATAAATGACTTATTGCACACATTGCAAGAATATAGTTTTTCTTTAGTATGAATACGGCAATGTCTAACTAATGTGTTTATATGTGTGAATGCTTTATGACATAAAATGCAAGAATAAGGTTTTTCCTCAGAATGTAGCTGAGAATGATGTATTAAACTTTCCTTTCGGGAAAATGTTTTGGCACAAGTATCGCAAATATATGGTTTCTCGCCAGAATGAACTAGAGTGTGTCTTTTTAAATTACCTCTGTTCGTAAAGGATTTATCGCATATATCACATGCGTAAGATCTGTCATTTGTGTGAATACGTCAGTGTTTAATGAGTCCCCACTTTCTTGTGAATGATTCATCACATATAGTACAAGAATAGGATTTTTCTCCAGTGTCAGTCAGAGAATGGAAATTGTTTTAGTACACATACTGAAAGTACAAATGATTTGAGGAGTGTTGAATTAGTTTTTCTTCTACTTATCCAGATACGCTTTTCAACAGAAAAATGCACATTTCTTACAGAAAATATGACTTTTTTTAAGCGCTAACAATTGGATGTTGAAACTAAGCTAAATCTGTCACTATGTTAGCTCAAAAAAAAAAAAAATTTTTTTGATGCTGATCATAATAATTATGAGTGAAATTTCCTTCATTATACTACCATTTTAGAAGTAGCATTATCCAAACAAAACTTCTTTTTCAGTAATAGTACAAGCATACGTAATTGCAATTGGATTATTACATATATAGCATGAAGATTTCAATGCAATATGAACAAGGGGGTAATGGAAATTAAATTGCCACATATGCTTTTGCTTTTTCTCACAAGCTTCAATTTTAATACAATACAGAAAATAGTGATCAAGTTTTCCTTCCAATTGAGCAAGAAATTTTTCAGCAACTAAGTTATTTAAACAAGTCACGAATACTTACAGACTTACTTCCTATGGACAATTTTTTTAAGGTACTAAATAAGTTTCTCAATATTGTAAACATAATTTATATCACTTCCTCTTTCTAACAACATATACAAAGATAGAATGACACGATTTCGATAGATAAACGCACACGAATTCACGTCTAATGACTGTTAAAAATTGATTACCGTTTTTCAGCCTCATTTTCAAATTTTGTTTATCGCTAGTTGACTAATTTTATACAATACATTAATATAAATAAAGAGCAATGTCAAGTAAGAATAATTCTCCAAAGTGTAAATATTGCTTATTTCTGCTACTTTAAAGTGCAGTGAATTTTCAGCCTCATTTTTCATTCGTTCGTTCACCTCGTTTTTCAGCCTAATTTTCAAATTTTGTTTATCGCTAGTTGACTAATTTCATACAATACATTAATGAGGATACAATACAATACATACAATAGCGTGAGGATGCCTGTTTAAATGTTAAAGAGTTCTTTTTCAACAACCAGTAANACCGTTTTTCAGCCTCATTTTCAAATTTTGTTTATCGCTAGTTGACTAATTTTATACAATACATTAATATAAATAAAGAGCAATGTCAAGTAAGAATAATTCTCCAAAGTGTAAATATTGCTTATTTCTGCTACTTTAAAGTGCAGTGAAACAGAGCAATGATTAAAAAAGTTACAACTTACCGATCGATTAATTGCCAATGATTGGTTTGAAATTTAAATTTTTTTTTACAGTAGAACTTTGTCCTTATACGAAGCAGAGTGAAGCAGCTGCTACACTTTTATCTTTCTCTGCGAGATAGGGGACGAAAGCGTAAATAACTGAATTGAAAAGAATAAAATGTATTATTATTTAAATTCAAGGATCGAAATTTAAATGTGATCCCTTTTCGTTAAAAACTAGAGTTTTAAATATTTATAATTAAACTAGAAATAATCAAATGATGACAAACTTTCTAAAGCTTAAGTTCATTTGTCAACAAGTTTATAACAAATCATCTTTTTTTTAAAAAAATTATTCAGGAAAGAAAAAATATTTTTATTAATATTTCTGCAATACTTTGATTTAACATTTTTTTTAATGAAACATTTTTAAACTTTATTTTTATATCCGCCAAACTTACATTTACTTTATTATTCTTGTAGAAAAACCAGTAGCGAACACTTTAACAGTGTTTGCTCTTGTGATATAAAGCAATTGCAAACACTTTTACTGTGTTTTTCTTGTTGAAAGACAATTGCTTATACTTAAACTGCATAACGCAGTTCTGAAAAAATATTTGCATGCTGACTAGTAAAATGATTGAGAGTGAAGAAAATATAACTCCATATCGCTGTGATCATCATCAAATTTATTCTTGCAGTTTGTGTGTTAACATTATTTCAGATTTAGTTCCAAACCAAGTAACTGAACACTCACCTATTCACACTGAAGATGAGGTTTATCCATGCATTATGTGCGGAAAAACATTTCAAAATAAAAAAAATTTGATTCGACACTCTTTGATTCATTCTGAGAAGAAGCATACGTGTAGTGTCTGTGCTAAAACATTTAATAGAAAACAAAATTTAAATCGACATTCCCTGATTCACACTGGTGAAAGACTTCATTCCTGTACTACATGCGACAAAGCATTCACGAACAAAGATGTATTAATTAGACACTGTCGTATTCACACCAATGAAAGACCTCATTCTTGCAATGTATGTGATAAATCATTTGCGCACAAAAGTGATTTAAATAGGCACAATCTAACTCACACTGGAGAGAAACCGCATTGTTGCGACATATGTGGCGTGGCATTTACAAAAAAATACTCATTGAATCAGCATATGCATGTGCACACTGGAGAAAAGCCTTATACGTGCGATGCATGCAATAAGATGTTTGCGAGAAAAGAAGATTTAAAGCGCCACATTCTGATACATACTGGGGAGAAACCGAATAAAGTTTATCCTTGCAATGTATGCAATAAAATATTCACCAAAAATAGCACATTAACTAAACACTCTCTTGTGCATAGTAAAAAAAAATTTCTGTCTTGTGAAGTGTGTCAGGAGACATTTACAAGTAAAAGTGATTTAGTTGCACACTATAATGTCCATCCCGAAGAGAGACCTAAAAAAGTTTATTCTTGCAGTATATGTGACAGAACCTTCTCGAAAAAAGACTCCCTGACGCGACACAGTCTCGTGCACACTAAAGAAAAACCTCACTCTTGCGGAGTGTGCAAAAAAACCTTTGCACGGAAAAGTAGTTTAGTCGTACATTGTGCTATCCACTCTCGAGAAAAACCAGAAAAAATTTATTCTTGTTCTTCATGTGATAAATCATTCACGAAAAAAGGTTCGCTCACTCGACACATTCTTATTCACTTTAAAGAAAAGCCTTACTCTTGTGATATGTGTAATGAGGCATTCCAGCGTGAATTTGATTTAATTAGGCACCGACAGATTCATACAGGAGAGAGGCCACATCGTTGCACTGTTTGTGGAAGATCGTTCAATAAAAAATACTCATTAACTCAACACTCTAGTATTCATACTGGAGAGAAGCCTTATGAATGCACTACTTGTGATAAAATGTTTGCGAGAAAAGCAGATTTAAAACGGCATTCTATGGTTCACACTGGGGAAAAACCCAAGGTTTATCCTTGCACTTTTTGTGATAGAACATTCACTAAGAAAAGTACTTTAACAAAGCATTCCCTTATTCATACTGAAGAAAAGCCTCTTTCTTGTAATGATATTGACGAGAAACCTGGTTCATCGAATGTTACTTTAGAACCTTCTTCTAGTGAACATGAATTTGAAGATCCAGATTCCTCTTAATGATCTTTCCTCAATTCATTTTCCCTCTGGTATTTAGTATATATCCTTTTTTTTCTCCATTTTATTCTTTTTGGTATTTTAATCATCGTTTAAGTATACCTATATTATCCATAATATATTTTCCTTTGACTACATTTTAACATTCATTTCTAAAATGAAGAAAATTTTTAAGCGTAAAGTGTAGTAATTTTCACAACATTATAAAATATATATAATAATTCCATATTTACTTTTTTAAAAAATAATAATAACTGCACCTGGGGGGTGTTTTTGACGAAGAAAAGTGGCAGACAAAAAATTTTTAATCGCTACTTGTTGCTTGGTGCCCTTCACCCCTTTATGCTATTTAAAGTTACTTTTAATAAATGAAGTTTTATGCAATGTTTCAGCTAGAACATTTGTATGCAAAGTGATCTAACTCATTACTTTTATGTTCACACTTAATTAAGTGATAATATTAAGTGTATTAACAAAAAGTATTTTTCCTATGAAATATTTACATTTGAAAATAATTAAATAAAATATTTGATATACTGCAGGACAGGAGAAATTATTTTTAATTAACTTTTAATCTTAATTAGTGATAGAAGTTTGTATTAATATAATATTACTTTCATTTATTTTTTTATAAAAACTAATATTTTTTTATCATTAATATGTATATTTACATAATATTAATATTGAGTTAATTAGTTTACATTTAATTTTTATTTTTTATCAAACATGTAACTAGTTTTAATTACACATTATTAACTTTTATTTTCTGAAAATTTTTATTACGTAGCAGAATTATAAATTTTTGTTAAACATCTATTTTTTATTAATATTTTTAAATTATGATATTTTTTTATAATATTTAGCATTAAAATTGATCTAAACAATTTAAACTTAGTTTTAAATGATTTATGTTGTTCTTATAATTCTTGCATAAAAAACATTTTATTGTATGACTTCTTATTAAAAATACAAGGCAAAAAGTTTTTTTAAAGTACCGTCATGTGGGGCGGCTACTTTGTGCAAATTCGAATTTGGCATTTTTCAAGTGCTGCTATTCAGTATTATGTTTTCTTCACTTTAAAAATGTGTGGAATTTGAAGATAGAAGTCTCCTCTATTTCTACAAAAAAAATTTCGAATTTTAAAACAATCTCAGAGTGTGTCTTGTTTATCCAATGGCAACAACTTTCCGAGAACTTCGGACGTCGAAAAGTGTGCGTGGAAAATTTAGCTGTGAAATGCAAAGACGTTGATAAAACAATTGTCGTAAGTGCAAAATTTTTTATTTATATATTAGTAAACAATTATATCATGTTAGCTTTAAAAAAATTTGAAAATTAATAACAAATAAACGGAAAATGAAAAAAAATGCACTGTGGGGCTACTTTGTGTAAAGTTTAATTCGTTTTGTTTTTTTTTCGACAGAAAAATTGTCAGACGTTATAAAAAATACCTAGAACGAGAAACTACTGTGATTACACTTTAGAAAAGCTGCAACAATGTTTGCAAGCAGTTGCTGGTGGTATGTCGATTGCAGAAGCTTTTTGGAAGTACGAAATCCCCAGAAATACTATCTCTAATAAAATTCACAAGAAACACGTGAAACGTGTTGGTAAACTACTATTTTTCTTCTACAAAGATTTTTCTAATGAATTAATCATAAAACGATTGAAGACATAAAAATATATTTTATAGAACATCAGGTGATTTTGACAGAAACTGAAGAGCAAGTTCTGTCATGTTCATTCAAGCATGTTATGTTCAAATTTATCAATATTATAAATGTTAATGAATATGTAATAATTATTATTTTTGAAATTTCATCCATTTCAATGTTCAAAAATGTTAATGGTTTCCTTTTGTTTAAACTCAAATGTTTTTAAATAAACATTCTTTTTTAAGAAAAAATTCTTTATAAAAAATGTTTTTTTAACGCTGAAAATTATTTTCAAACTAATATCTTTACATATCTTGATCTTTTTGTTATTAAAAATGTCAACAATTAACTTTTTTAACAATTTCATATCAATATTTTACTAAAAACATGATTATTAAACTGAATTCCTATCGCTGCACAAGGTAGCCCCTACCTGAGGGCTACTTTGTGCAAGGTATGTTTTGACTTATTATTTGTAAATATTACATACAAATAATGCCAATATTGATCAAATTCACTCGTCTGAATCCAGTTATGAATATAATATCGATAAATTTTACTGAAGTTTGAATTAACAAAGTTTTTTTACATGTCAAAGTTCAAAAACTGCGAAATCCTGCACAAAGTAGCCCCACATGACGGTATAACTGTAATATTCTTTTATTCTATGGGTTTTGCACTTAGAGATTTTATAAAGTGTTTATAAAGGTATGAAAAAAAAGTTATAACGTTGACACAAAGATCATAAATTTTATGAAAATAGAAGCTCTGCTTCTATTTTCATTCAGTTAATTTATAACCATTGGATGGAATGGATTCTTCTCTTTATAGGGCAGAATTAGAAAATTTTTACTCTAATTTCCTATTTCCTGTGGCCAGTAGTAGCATATTTAATAGTGCAGGGTGTCTACCAGCCGCGGAAATCATGAAAATCAAGAATTTGTAATAAAAAGGTCACGAAAATCTAAAAAATAACACAATATTTTAAATGAATTCATAAAATTTTATTTTATTTTAAAGAGAAAACACACATTACAGATAAAATCCAATCACAGTGGTGTATAGAATGAAAAAGAATGTTATTTTAACTATAAAATATTTATAAAAAAAAAATTCATATCAAAAATATCGAAGTCTTTAGCATGTTTGTTAAAATTCTGTACAAAGAAAAGTGTTTTATGCAATTAAATTTACAAAATGTGCTTACAAATAATTTTTTTGTGTGTGGTTGTGACGATTTAACTAAATTATATTTAAAATATCAAAACAATCTGTTGTATTATTAAGAATTTTGCTGCGTTTGACAAAATCTGGAGGCAGAAACTATTTTATATTAACAGTAGAGCGGGCATTTTAGGTAACTCACTCATTAAAATTACTTTCTGAGAAGAAGAAACTCCAGGCTTAAAGTAAATGGCACTTTCTAGTTAAAGTATATATCAAAAAATGCAGAACTGAGATTTTCACAACACATCTCACAAATCTCAAATAAAGCCCTAAAAAGGCTAAATATTTTGAAAAGATTGTGTGGTGCATCTTGGGCCTCAAGCCCTAAAACTCTTCTCAGTACATATGTCTCCCCTGTTAGGCAAATTCTAGAATATGCTGCTCCCATTTAGCCACCAGCTTCTTTGCAAAAGATAGGACAGATAATATCCAGTACGTCCAAAAAAATATTGGAGCTGTTTCATCGACAAAGAACATTAAAGTAGAAACTGAGTCTGGCCTAACCCCCTTAGATCACAGAAGAAAATTAGCCATCATAAGCTTCATAAACAAGATTTGATGCCTAACCGACAGTCACATCTCCAGCAACACTTTCAAGGCACGGAGAGGTACATCTAGACTGAAATAGTCCTCCACTCTACCTTGAAATAAGGCAGCACAAAAATATAGATATCATTACGGAACCTCTTCTCGCTGTCTATCTTTCTTCACAAGTAATAATCAATCTAAGCCTTTTACAACCTTTTAATACAAAGGAGTCAAGTGCACTGCTCAAGCAGCACACATCCCATAATATTCCTACAAGAAAAATTTTATCAAACTAAACAGAGCTTTGGATATCTACTACAGGGCAATTGAGAGTTCCTGTGGCATTCTACTGTTCATAGACTCTGCTCTTCAGGCGATCCTAAGGGGCTACTTCCAGCTAAACCAAAAAAATTATTGCTCTTGTTAGTTAAAGTCAAAAGAGCAAGCACTTAGTAATGGATATCGGCCCACGTAGGCAATGAGCAGGCTGATAACTTAGCCAAAGATGCTTGAAATTTCCCTCCAATAGTTTAACCCTTATTGATGCAACAGCTGAACGTTAACTTACCTCCCAAAAACCTAGGAAGAATTTTATCCCAGAATTTAATTGCAACTGGGTAATTTCATCTACTATAACCAGACTACGTACAGGACGTTTTAAAGGAATGAAAATATCCCCTGATGGCCAAAGAAGTTATAATACCTGTCCTCACTGTCTTAAAATCCAACTCTCTCCAAGTAAATTTTTTATTATCCTTCTACAACTTAGATCCAAACCACACAAACTATCAATTGCTCTATTCTCCAAAAATCCTTGGCTGTTTTGACCACATTCGGTGCTATTTGGTTCCTCTACAGCAGTGTTCCCCAACCTTTTTATCACCGTGGACCCAGAGCCGGATTATACCTTTCGTAGGGCCCCATGGCAGCCGTTTTGGAGCCCTCCCCTCCTTCCCCCACTCCTCCCCTCTTTTCAAAATATATGCTAAAATTTTCTTGCATATTTTTTTTTTTTTTTACATTTTTATTAATATGGATTTTAATTTGAATACGACATTTTGCGTAGTTTGGAATTCGACAGCATAATACAAGATTTCGTTGAATCCAAAAATCGCAAAAATGTAATATATTAGATTATAAGATTCTGCAAAATAATTTATTACCGAAGAATATTATATTTTTATTTGTATCTTCATAATTTTGTGCAAAATACACTTGTTGTTTTTAAAGCTAAATTACTTTTGTCAACAAATTTTTTTCTCCCAATTTTTTCGTAGGCTCTAGGCACGTGCCTAGTGTGCCTTTAGGTTAATCCGGCCCTGCCAACGTTTAATAATTTTACCGCGGCCCGCTGGGGGGGGGGCGTTGATTGTTTACATTTTAGATTATTTTAATTTAATTGTATTTAAACATGCCATCAAAATAAAATACAGTTGCACCAAAATATTAAGTCAGTTAACATTTTAACTTACTAAAACCTTAAATCAATGAGAACCCTGAGCTTGTTTCTTTGCAATGAGACGGTTCCATCTGGGGGTAATCGGAGACAATGATACATTACAAATATTTATGGGCCACTTTTTTTAAATAAATAAAATTTTAATGGAACACAGATATTTTTAATTTGGGGTTTAAACCTAAGAATTTAAATTGCGTTTCAATGGAATGGGCGGCCCGGTACCAGTTGATCAACGGACCGGTCCGCGGGTTGGGAAACACTGCTCTACAGTACTTGGACAGGACAACTACGTTAAGAATTTTATAAAAAAGTAACAAAGACAAATTTCTACGACATTCTAATGAAGGGACATCAAAAATATTTTGCAATGCAGAAACAGGACAATCATAAGGATTTTGCTTAGCTGTTTTATAAATAGAAAATGTAAAAATTTATTTTGAACTCTTTTATTATTATAGTAGGTTGCCCAAATAATACTGCAGTATTCCAAAATGAAACAAACAAAAGTAAAATAAATAATTTTTCAGGTTTATTTGTTTGTGGACTCATAGTTTCAGGGCTAAAGAGAATAGAAGGGCTAGTTCACTCCGCTCTTAGAGCTGAAGCTACGATTTCCCTCCTCATGACGTCACTGTGTCCACAGATCTCGGAGAGCGCAAGCAAAGATATTA